TGGGTACAGGGCTGGAGGGCAGCCCTCGGGGTTACCTCGCTCAGCTCCGGGAAGTTATCCTGCTGGCAGAAGGGGCACTGCCAGAGGCCCGTCTCGTCGTTCCGGATCGCCTGGTCGTAGCTTTCTCCTTGCGGCCGCCGATGGGCGATTCCCGTCACGTTGCAGATGATCAGCTTACCTGCGGACAGGGGAAGCCGGACCTTTAAGGGGGTGTGAGGGTGGGGGGCTCAACTCAGACAAGCAAGAGCGTTGCACAAAATTGATCTCAGAGCAACGGGGAGCCGATGAGGGCTACATTCTTGATCGCTGGTCATAGCTGTGGCTCACCACCATGATCATCTGAAGATCTCCAGCAGCGTTCCTCAACCTGGCTGGCTTGAAGATGGGTGGACTTCAACTCCCAGAATTCCCCAGCCAGCATAGCTGGCTGGGGAATTCTGGGGAGTTGAAATCCACCCATCTTCAAGCCAGCCAGGTTGAGGGACGCTGATGCGAGGTTCCCCCACTAGCCTTTGAGTGGGGTAAGAGTTGGATGCCCCTACCGATGTAAAAGGTCTCGGGGGTCTCCTTGGTCAACATGTTGAAGACCTCCTCGGAGTTGGGCGCGCGATACGGGCTGCGCAAGTCCTTGTAGCGGCAACTCAGCTCCGCTCGGATGTCGTACAGGGTGATGTGTTTGTCGCCGTAGCCCTGCAAAGAAACCGGGGCCGTGAATATGTCTGGTGGGGACCCAGAAAGACCCCCCTCCTGGGGTGGGAGGGTCTGCTGACCTGCCTCTCCAGCTCTTCCGCGAAGGCATCCAGGTCCAGATCCTTCAGACGCTCCGGGTTTTCCAGGATCTCCTCCAGGGCCCCGGCGGGGTTGGCGTCCTCGGCCGACTCGTCGTATTCCAGAGCATCCACGGCCATCTTCCGCGCCCATTCGTAGGTCTCCGGGTGGACCCTGGAGCCGTCGAGGACCTCGATGTAGGAATCCGTGCTAGGAAGATCCGGGGAAGATTTATTTTATTTCGTGTGGCGGGACAGAACGCAGCGCGGGTGCGTAAAATGCAGGAAAACAGCGTATAAAAGGCGTTATGAAAATAACAAAGCACCAGTACGGTGAATTCTTTTAAGAAACGCAGAGCAAGAATGACGAATAAAATGACAAATGGAATTAAATTATGTACATGAGCAGTTACTGGAGTGGCTAAGCCCAAGGCTGGTATCTAGATCAGGGGTAGGCAACCTTGGCTCTTTTATGACTTGTGGACTTCAACTCCCAGAATTCCTGAGCCAGGAATTCTGGGAGTTGAAGTCCACCAGTCATAATGGGGAGCATAGTTCCCCCATGCTGGCTCAGGAATTCTGGGAGTTGAAGTCCACCAGTCATGAAGGGGGCCATAGTTCCCCCATGCTGGCTCAGGAATTCTGGGAGTTGAAGTCCACAAGTCATGAAGGGGGCCATAGTTCCCCCATGCTGGCTCAGGAATTCTGGGAGTTGGAGTCCACCAGACATAAAAGAGCCAAGGTTGCCTACCCTTGTTCTATTCTACAGCTGTGTGACTGACTTAACAACCGCAGTGATTCAGTTAACAACGGTGTCAAGAAAGGTCGTAAAAACGGGGCAAAACTCGCACTTGCTTAGCCCCAGAAATGTTGGGCTCAGTTTCAGCCGTAAGTCAAGGACCAGCTATATTTTAAGGGTCGGCGTTGCTTGTATTTGTGATGTGGTGCCTGCGGCCCAAAGGACAGCGGGCAAATTTAAATAACTTTAACCCAACAAGGGACCAAGCGGGTCTGCGGAGACACTGGGCAGAGAGAGAGAGTGAGAGAATCGCCCCAAGAGCATTTGGGGGGGACGGACGCCCTGTGGGACTCTGCAGTAGCCACACCCAGCCCAGGACTTGCCAGCAGGGGAATTCTGGGAGTCGAAGTCCATCCATCTTCAAGCCAGCACCCACCTGTCTCCCAGCGAGGCTGTGTCGATCTTGATGAAGCCGGCGCAGTTGATGAAGACTTTGGGCCCCATGTGGCACATGGTGACCAGCTGAGTCCGGTTCTCCAGCCGGGTGTTGTTCTGTTTCAGGATCTGAAAGAGGAGGCGGGGTGGGAGAGGCAGGGGGTCACTCAGAGGCCTGGGAGGAGCAGGAGAAGGGTCTGGGGGAGGCAGAGGTCCTCCCAAGCCCCCTTGGACTCCCACCCGGCCTTTGCCCCCCCCCCCCAGGCTCTCAACTCTTTTCCAGCAGAGATATTGGGGGCCTACAGGCTTACAACCACTCATTTAGTGACTGCTCACAAGTTACAACGGCCCCGAAAAAAGGGGACTTGCGACCAATCCTGGCACTGGCGCTTCCTCACACTCACTGGATCAAAATTTGGGCGTCTGGCAACTTCCATGTATTGCACTAACTCAACACTGCAGTGATTCGCTGAACAACGGGAGGAACGGTTGTAAAATGGAGCAAAACCCATTCGCTGTTTCGGTGAGCCATGGACATTGGTGGCTCAATTCCTGCCTCCGTTGTTAAGCGAATCGTTGCAGTGGTTCAAGCCAGGGGTACGGTTGTTAAGAGAATCCGGCTTCCTCCCCCCACTGACTTGGCTTGCCAGAAGGTCACAGGGCATTGCGACCGTCATAAACACGAGTCGGCGGCCAAAGGTCTGACCACGTAATGCTGCGACGGCCCTGTGAAAAATAGTCAGAAGCCATTTGCTCCAGTGGTGGCGTTGTAACTTGGAACGGTCACTAAACGAACGGTCGTTAAGAAGCGACAGGACAGCCATTTGTCCGAAATAGTATAGGGTTTCCTGCCTGAGCAGGGGGTTGGACTAGATGAGCTCCAAGGTCCTTCCAACTTTATTATTATTATTATTATTATTATTATTATTATTATTATTATTATTATTATTATTATTATTATTATTATTATTATTATTATTATAAATCGAGGACCCCCTGCAAAAGGGGGGAACCTCCCCTGCCTGCAGCCCCCCGCCCGTCCCGTGGGCCCCCTGCCCTCCCCCTACCTTCAGCAGGTGGGCGCCCTTCCGGGGCCCCAGGCCGCAGACGTACTGCAGGAGGGCCTGGCTGTGGGGGTGGGCGATGGCCCGGTTGACGTCCACGCCCACCTCGTTCACCCGGTTGATGAACTCGCAGTAGAGAGCGTTCAGCAGCTGCTCCTTCTCCACGTGGTCCTGGGGGGGGGCAAGAGGGGGGAGAGGGTCAGTCCTCCTACCTTGGGGCCAAGCCTGGGAAGACGGGCGGGGGCCGAGTCCAACCAAAGGGAGTGGGATCAACTGGAGAGCTTGGAGAGGCTTCATGCTTAAGGGTGGGTGGGTGAGGGTTCTGATGCCCCCCCTGTACATTTCTGGACTGCAGGTCTTTCGATTCTCGGGCAGCCCGGCCGAGCCCACCCAGAGCAGCCCACCCCTCCCCATCTTTTAGAGAGAGGGAAGGGAGGGAGGCTAGCCAAACTCCGCCTACAGGACTTCAACTCCCAGAATTCCTGAGTCACCAGGGGTAGGCAACCTGGGCTCTTTTATGACTCATGGAGTTCAACTCCCAGAATTCCTGAATCACCAGGGGTAGGCAACCTCGGCTCTTTTATGACTCATAGACTTCAACTCCCAGAATTCCTGAGTCAGCTATGCTGACTCAGGAATTCTGGGAGTTGAAGTCCATGAGTCATAAAAGAGCCCAGGTTGCCTACCCCTGCCGGCTCTGGGAGGGACGGAGTTTCCCACCCACCCACCCTATTCCCAATTCTTTTTTTTTTCCCCTGATCAGTCTCGGACCCTCCCGGCTCACAGCCCTCCCATGTTTAATGCCCAAGAGCCACTTTGGCCTAGTGGACAAGACGCCAGGCTGGAGGCGAAGAGTTCGAGTCCCCCCTCAACCACGTCAGCCAGCTTGGCGAGTTCTAGTCCTCTTGGTTTGGCTGGGTGTGTTTGGGCCAATCCCCGGGAGATGGTGACTTCTAGTCCCGCGCCTTAGGCGTGAAAGCCCGTCGGGTAACTTTGACCTCTCTCAGCCCACAGGGTTGTTGTTGTGGGTAAAATAGGAGGAGGGAGGTGCAAAGGATACGTTCACCCCCTTAAGTTGTTTGTAAAGATAACAGAGGAAGGGCACAATTAAATAAACCACCCAATTTGCCATCTTCCGGCACAAAGCCCCCCTTTGGGGTTACCTGCATGGGGTGCAGCTTCAGGCAGAGGATGTCCTCGTCCAGGCTGCAGACTTGGGCAAACTCCACCAGCGGGTCCTGGATGCGTCGCGCGAGGGAGACGGCTTGGCGCAAGACCGGCGGGTAGTCCCGGAACTCGGCCTGTGAGGAGAGTCAACCGGCATGTCACAATAATAAATGGAAAAAGTTGTCGAGAACAAGAGGGTGAAGATCTTGTGGGACTTTCGAATAGATCGCCATTTGGAACACAACACGCCGGATATCGCAGTTGTAGAGAACCGAAGCGTACAGCTGATTGATATCGCTGTAACCAGGAGATGCCAGAGTCGAAGAAAAAGAACATTTTACAAAATGTTTTATAGATGGCATCTGGATCCTAAAAAGCTGTCTT